GAAAGAGAGAGAGACCGGGAAAGAGAAAGGGAGAAGGAAAGAGAGCTGGAACGAGATCGTGCTCGGGAGCGGGAGAGGGAGAGAGAGCGGGACAAGGACAGGGACCGTGAGCGTGACCGAGACAGGGACCATGACAGGGAAAGGGAACGAGAGAGAGAGAGGGAGAAGGAGCGAGAGAGAGAGCGGGAGGAACGAGAAAGGGAGCGAGAGCGCGAAAGAGATCGAGAGCGGGAACGAGAAAGGGAGAGAGGTCGGGACAGGGATAAAGAAAGAGACCGCCAGAGAGACTGGGATGACAAAGAAAAAGGAAGGGAAGACCGCAGGGATAAGAGAGAAGATATCAGAGAAGAAAGAAGTTCAAGAGATGTCCATGAGGAAAGAAAATCCAAGTGAGTTGATCTAAATGTTACTTTGGTTAAAAAAAAAGAAAAAAAAAAAAAGGCAGTCTTTTACTGTTGGTTTCAGTAAGTTAGTAAGTAGGGGAGTATCATAAGGAGGAAGATATCCTGTTTATGCAGGGGCCTGGTCTTGAGCCATGTCTCCCCTGCATCTGTGTGGCACATACTGGTGACCCCAAAATCAGTACTATGCTAGTGAAATTAATCTGATGCTTTGTTAGTGCAGAATCGTAGAACTACTCAGGAGCTAACAATTGAGTCAGACCATGTAATTTTCCCTTCTAACTATATTTGCGTGGCCTTGTCTTTAATAATGCAGGCATTCTGGGAAGCATAATAGCGGACTGTGGTACCTTTTGCAGCTTGGAAAGTCAAATAGCAGCTAACTGGGTCAGGATTCATGCCTTCATTCATTAAATTTCTGTAGAACATACATTACCCTTTGCACTACTAAATTTTCAATACCAGAAGGCTACCAGTGAAGGTGTGAACAATACCCTGAGTGTGTGGTGCTTCCTTTAAGTGTGTAGTGCTGATTCTTTTTCTTTTTTCATTTAGTACAATAAAATTCTCATTGTTCCATCAATGATAAGCAAAAGAGTGTTGTCCTGAATGGCTGCTTTGCTTGGAAGTAATTAGTAGCTTCTGTGTCAGAGAATTGTGGATTCCTCTAAATCTAGTATGGGCTCTGCCCCCTCCCACTGGGGGAGAAGTGAGCAGGTGTCTAGGTGGGGGCTTAGCTGCCAGCTGAGGTCAACCCACACAAGGATCATTGCCACAGGAAAAAAATGATCTTAAGAGTCTTCCATAACTTTTTGCTAAAAAGGTAGTTGTCTTAAGTGTTAGAGTTTTAGTTTAAGGTATCTTACAATATGATGAGAAAATTGATCATACTTGAAGTTTTGGAATAACAACTTAGAAAACTACAAAACTTCCTGGCATCCTTAGATGTGTTGTCTTCTCTATGAAGTGCTTAGACTTCAAGGATTGTACTGATGATAAACTCAATTATTGAATGTTTTCTTTAAAGAATCCTGAAGAAATTTGACTGTACATGTTTGTTCTGCAGGAAGCGTCACAGAAATGAAAGCAGTCCAAGTCCTCGTCAGTCACCCAAACGTCGCCGTGAGCACTCTCCTGATAGTGATGCTTACAACAGCGGAGATGATAAAAGTAAGTAGCAGTTGGCTATCTCTGCAGCAGGATCCAGCTTACCCTCTGCCTATGGAAAATAACGTGCAATCTTAAATAGAGAAAACATGGGGCAAGCTTTTATAAGTGTCCTCCTCCCCTTACTTTTATAAGCAACACCATTTTTCTTAATCCATATGTTTGTCTTCTTGTCTTCATTTTGTCGCTATATGTTACGTCTGCCAGGTGATAGTGGCTTCCACATCTGTTGTTTAAGATGCATTTTTACCAAATTGGAAATAGTCTGTTGCTGCTGCAGCAGTAGAAAAACTTAAGAAATGTAACTGAAATAATGGATTATTTGTTTTGATTGACAATTTTCAGCATGCACAAGATACCAAATGTTCACCTGTTCTCCTTCCTAAACAATACAAGTACATCCTTTTTCCCATTTTGTAGATGAAAAGCACAGACTTCTGAGCCAGGTTGTGCGGCCACAGGAATCCCGGTCACTGAGCCCCTCTCATGTTACAGAAGAGAGGCAGAGTCGCTGGAAAGAAGAAGAGCGAAAATCGGACAGAAAGGAAAGCTCCCGGCGTTATGAAGAACCAGAGTTTAAAGAGAGGGTTTCTTCAGCAGATAAGCAAAGAGAGCAACCAGATACTTCAGAAGGCTCCCGGTCCAGGGTTCAGGAAAATCTTGGACACCGTCCCTCTGAAGAAAGAGATGCTTCTGATAGAATGCATGATGACAGCAAGAAGAAGTCTAAGGTACAGAAAAAGGCCACAAAGAAGAAAAAAGATGATGACAGTGGGGTGGAAAGGTATGCTAATGAATCAACGACTGAGGAAAGCCAGGTCTTTTCACCCAAGAAAGGTCAAAAAAAGAAAAATGTAGAGAAAAAGCGGAAGCGGTCCAAGGGTGATTCTGAAGTTTCTGATGAAGAAATTGTTCCACATCATAAAAAGAAGAAAGGCCCAAGAACCCCGCCTGTAACAAAAGAAGAACTGGTTGAAGCACCGCCTGAGAAAGCTGTGGCAGAAGTCCCCCAAAAAAGAGAAGATACGACATTTAGTGACTGGTCAGATGAAGATGTTCCTGAACGTGGTGACATTGTTGTTCCAGAAAGAAGCACTGAGGACTCCCATAGAAAAAGTCACAGGACGAGGGGTGAAAAGGTGGAAGCCCCTCATGTTACTATAGATGATGGACCACACCGTAAACCTGTAGATCAGAAGCGCAGCAGCAGCCTTGGTAGCAATCGAAGCCATGCCTCAAGCAGACTCAGATCCCCTTCCAATGAGTCAGCTCATCGCAGTGGAGATGACCAGACTGGACGGAAGAGGATCCTGCACAGTAGCTCTAGAGACAGGGATAGGGACAGGGACAGAGAGAAGAAGAGCTTAGAAATCACTGGGGAACGGAAATCCAGAATTGATCAGTTGAAACGAGGGGAACCCAGTCGCAGCACATCTTCAGGTAATAAGATACATTTTAGTGAGACTGACCTATCGTTCTGTATAAAAGTACAAAGGTACAAATCCCAAATCATTCTTGCATGGCTGTATGCTCTTTTGATTTGTAATTAGTGTGAAGGGAGAGGGAGGTGCTCTCTGCCGTTCACTGTAGAACGAGTGAATTAAGATTCCTGCAAGTGTTACCATATTTGAAAAGCTGATCCTCAGCGGGCAGGATTACCACTTTGTTTACACCAAAACATTCAGTCAGATTCAGTTAATGCTGCCTGGGAAATAAAGTAATCTGTAGGACAAAAAAAACTCATAGAGAAAATGCTTGTGCTAACAGAACATTGAGATAGTTTTATCATCTAAATAATGTTCTTAAATTCATTATTAACATTCATTTTGATATGGAAATTCTGAAATCTATGCAAAATGAAAGTGTCTCTTCTCTCTGGGAGAGAGATCCATTGTCATCTCAGGAGCTATTTTCACTGAGGTAAATCTGTCATGGTTCCTGTTAGGCATACTTTTAATGCATATGGAAATCATCTTGGTTGCAAATGAAAATAATCACAATTGACTGGTTTTATTTGTGTAATTCCTGTAAAAAACAAACAAACAAAAACGGGTAAAATGGTTTAAAATTTAAACAGCATCAGTAGGAAAATATCTTCCTCCTAGAGCACTTTGTCTCCCTGTTCTCCTTATGGTTACATGCCTGAAATTATTTTTCTGAATTTATCATTTGCTAGCCAAGGCATTCCTAGCTTTTAGAAGACATGTTTTGAAAATTTTGAATTTTAAGATGATTCCTTTTTTTTTTTGTCCCTCTCCCCCGCTTCCCTTGCCTAAATTTCTGAGTTAAAATGATGTACCTTCAGTTTGGCTTCTGTCATAGTAGAAAGTAGCCACGAAAAATCTTTTTTGGGAGTGGGAGAAATACCTTATGTTTTTACGTAAAGGTAAATCTATAGACAATCTGAAGGCATTATTAATTTGAAGATGATGCTTTTGAGAAGTACATTTTCATACCTGAATCTTTAAAATGCTTTGGTTTAGTAAAATGGTATTACATTTACGTGCTGTAGTCACGCATATATTTAAAATATTTTTTTCAGATCGTCAAGATTCAAGAAGCCACAGTTCAAGAAGAAGTTCTCCTGAATCAGATCGTCAGGTCCATTCCAGATCTGGGTCCTTTGATAGCAGGGAAAGGCTTCAGGAGCGAGATCGACATGACCATGATCGAGAACGAGAGAGAGAGAGGAGAGAGGGAAGACAGAGAGACTGGGACCGAGATGTTGACAAAGACTGGCCGAGGAGCAGGGAACGAGAGAGACTCAGAGAACGAGAGAGGGAGAGGGAGAAAAGACGGGAGCTGGATAGAGAGAGAGACAGACAACTACCTGATACTGCCGAAAGAGAGAGAGACAGAACTCTTGACATCTCTCAAAAAGAATCAACAAAACACAGTGAAACGAAGCTGGACAGAGATCACGAAAAGGAATTTGATGGTGTTTGTCGGGATTCAGTGGCTTCAGAGAAGGAAAGAACAGACAAAGATTTAGGACCTTTACAAGGTTTTGAAGATGGAAATGAGGCCGAAAAGGTAGAGAGTTTGGAAGGTGAGATATTCTGGGCAAGAACCTGGACGGTCAAATATTTTATTCTTTGCCTTTTAGTATAGTGCTGAACTGAGCTATATTAGAATAATTTTCTACTGAAAGGCATATTGGCTCCAGCTTCTCTATTGTGGAAGCAGACACAATAAGAGAGAATTCTGATGAGCATCTCTTAGTGTTAGTTGTGTTAGTGTTATTTGTTGAGTCTTGAGGCAAAGAAACAAATGATCTGAGGTATAATTTCGCCAAGGTGTAACGTTTCTGAATACGTAGTTTGCTAAAGAATAACACCATTTGATTGCCTTGTTATATCATTATAAGATCTATTTCTTAGTTTGGAAGTGACAGGTAATGAGTGAAAAAAATGAGTGTTGACTTGGAACTGTTCTTTGGAGTATTCTTCTGCAGAGCCCAATTATCATAGAAATGATTGTCTGTTTAGTAGGTGAAACATATGTATGGCTTGGCACAACAGTCCAAAAATGGCTTTCCTGAGGTAATCTTATTAAATGCAGCTTCAGTTTGCTCGCCCTAATGGTACTGGAGGAAACGTGCTTAGGATTAATAAATAAAGTCAGTAAGGGGCAAACACTGGCAAACTCTTAAGAGTTTGTCACAGGGATTAGACAGCTTGAGCTTTGCACGGATAGGGAGTTTGGGAAGTACTTATAACTTGTATCAACAACGTGAAAGAAGCAAGAGTCTAAATCCAGAGTAACTGATGTACGTTACGGTTATGTTCAGCAAGTTGGGTTTTTTTGGTAACTGCAGGAGTTTTCTTCTCTAAAATCTGTTGAGAGGAAAAAAAGCATCGTAAGATTTGGAATTTTTGGATGTTTGGGATGGTAAGGCCTGAAGTCCATAGTCTTCAGAAGCAGAAAGAGAAACAAATGAATTAAGCTTTTGTAGTTTTACACAAGATAACAGGACATTGTCTCATTATATTTGCATTCTTAATAAGAATTATCTGTGGTGTTTATTGTTAATTTGGGCTGTTAAATCAAATGTCTGGAGAGGATGATGAGGAATATTTATTATTTATTACTTATTATATCTCCTACCTGATTGCTCACAAAGTGGTCATTAGGGTTGACTGGTACAATTGAGAAAATTCCATTTAAGGAGGTTATCTTTGGAGTGGAAGCACTTGTCAAAGATAGTATTTTGAGCCAGCATGGGAAAGTCTGCTCTGTCTTGCTGTAATGGACAGAATTCAGTGATTTTTAAGCTAGAGGAAGGAATGCTGCAATAAATCTGAGAGTACAATGTGGTAACTTCAGAAAAGAGTTGGTGAAAGGCCATTCCTAGGTACGTTATCTGTTTCCAAGAGGGCACCTGTAACTAAACAGGCTATGGATATTAAATGTGTTCTTAGGCCTAGCCTTTCAGCAGACTTCTTGTAAGTGTTTTAATGTGTATTCTTTTGTGTATTTTTCAAAGGTTGCATTCTAAATTCTCTGAAAATTATCATCGGTAGGAAGTTATGGTATATTTAGTATTATTTTTTTTAGAAAAATAAATGTCTTTTGTAAAATATTAGATGGCATTCCGTTTTAGTAAAGGATACTACATATAGCATGTTTATGATTTTCTAAGGTTTAGTGTACTTTATTGTCTTTCATTACTTTATTACTCCTGTTTACATTGTTCCTTTTAGCTGACTAGCGTGTCATGTTTTTAATGCAGAATTAATATAAAAGTAGATTTCTGCAAAAAAGCAATAAAGGTAGTGACGGATTATAATCTAGAAATTATCAAACTTTGATTTGAAATTCAAAATTGAGAAAGTAATCTTTTTTAATCATGTATTGAGAACTATGCATTATTATTTTTAATGACTTCATACAGTGTTGTTTTTTTTTTTTAATGGTTCATCTGTGCTGTCCAAGCACATAGTTATGCTGAGCTAGTGTATCCGCTAGATCATTGTGGAGGCAGAAGATGGATCATACAGGCAGTGAATATTTAAAATTGTAAGACACAAAATGAAATCTAGTATAGATCGCCTTATTTTCCTTTTAAAAAAGAAAAACTTTTTTGAAAACTAAATACAGTTTCCAAATCTGATGATATTAAGGAGGTATCTGGTATTTAGTTGGACAAATTACTGTAGTATATTGTCTAACAAAATGTGTGAGGATGTAATTACTAAATTATTGTAATGTCTTGATCCTTAATGTGTTTGCTCTAGGAGTGGGCTTAAATAATGCCCAAGATGCTATATGCTTCCTCCAAAGCACTGCCAGGCGGTCTGAGTAGTTAATTTATGCTCTACTAACATGTCTTTTACTTTTTCCATACTGATTTTGAGGTTAGTTGAGGTGATTTCTTTCTTTTTTTTTTTTTTTCTTTCTCCTCTGTAGCTTTTACAAAGGCAAGCAAAAAAAAATTGAGGGCAACTTAAAATGGAGGCAGGCAGTTTCCTTTCTGGATAAGGGAGCTGGAAGATATTAGAATAGTCATCTACAGGGGAGGACCCCTGTAAATTGTCTAGTTTGTATGGCACAACTCATTGCAAGTACCATGGCAGAGAACCCTAAGAAAGCCTGAGTTTAGAGCAGTAGGGTTTCAGAATGCTTGAATACTGTATATATATTGATCTTTCAGTCTTGGAGGTAAGAGAATACCTTCAGATGTTCCTTTCATGAACTGCAAAACGCAATGTTTGAGTGTCTTGTATTTACAGGTTTTAAGGAACATGTTTACACATACAGCACAGGTATTTGTGTATATGCATATAGTACATGGATGGATAGGAGTGTAACAATAACTGAAGAAGTTTGGCATGGCTTTCTAAAAGCTCTTCTTGTGACTTCCACAAAGAATCTAAAACTCTGTGAATAATTGCTTCATTCAGGATATCTTGCACCTTCTTATATTTTGAGGTTTTGTTACTTCTTTCTCTCATAGAGCCTTTGGACTGAATCCTGAGTTTGGACTCAATCCTGAGTTTGGACTCATGTGCAAAAGCATCTGAAAGACTTTTTGGCACTGAGATCTGTATTATTAACTACGCATCAGATTATCAGATAATCAACATATGTTTCTTTTGAATATGGCCTTTTATGTGCAGTTCGACTAATACTGCACCAAAAAAAATGACCGAGATATGTAAAATTAAAACTGCTGCATTGTGTATGGGAGAAATAACTTCTCTGTTTCCATGAGTTTAATACCTATTTTCATGTTGAATATACTTGTCCCCAAAAACTAACAGTTTAGTTTGCTGAACCTCTTTGTTTTCAGGCTGCTTAAAGCATATTTAGAAGACAAGAATGATTGCTTTAAAGCTACAGTATGTATCTGTCTCTGTAGGAGGAGAAGATGAAGCAAAGATTGATGATGTACAGTCACTGGGGTCTGGTGCTGGAGAATACGAGCCAATCAGTGATGATGAACTGGATGAAATTCTGGCAGGTGATGCTGAAAAGCGGGAGGATCAACAGGAGGATGAGAAGATGCCTGGTAAAAGTATAGCAAACCCCCTTTATGATTATTTGAATATAAAGATAAGATCAGTTTGCATGTAATGCTATTGTGATGTTGACAGTATTTCTGAATTAAGAATGCAGTTTGTATGTTCTTCAGTATTTCTTATTTGTTCTGTAATAGTCAGGTAAGCCTGAGAAGTATAGAGGTAACTAAAGAGTACTGGGAGCTGTATTGTGAAGTAATATTTATCTTGTTTTCTATAGCTAGAAGGGTAAGCTTTTTGTTTTTATAAACATGTTTTCACTTATCCCATTTGGTTTTGATCATTATTTGGAACTGATATTTTTATGAACAGATTCTATCCGTGCTTGAATGCTTCCCAAATGCACTGGGAAGCATGGAATCTTCTACTTGTAAGTTCGGTTGGGTCACCTGGGCTATATGATCAGTGTTCGTATTTTCTGTGGTAAACGTATTAGACAAGCACAGTTGTATGGTTGTTCAATAAATAGTGTATCTCTCCTTTGAAAAAACCATCCAGCATCCAGAGTTGTAATACTTGCTTTTTAACCATTTAATTTGGATCTGTCATAGCACACTTAGTTGTACTGTGACTTCTGTGAATTCTTAAGTGATGTGTCCAAATCTGCTGGCTAAGCAGGGTCCGAGCAGCCTTCCACGAAGGGGTTGCAAGAAAAATGAAGCGGACTATTAGGGTTTGGGTTTGTTTGGGTTTTTTTCTTTAATCCAAGAACCGTTATATTTGTATGCTCCTTTTTTCCACCAATCTAAGTGAGTTTTGACGTTCTTACCTGAAGTGTCTAAGGATCTGTCTTTAAGAACTGCAGAATGATGTTCATCTAATATATATTGCTTTTATGAGCCGGGGATGTACACAGCATGTGAAATTAATCAACTGTGGTAAGGGATGATGATGTGATAACGCATTCTGTGTCAATGTTTTTGCAGATCCTGTGGATGTCATAGATGTTGATTGGTCCAGTCTTATGCCAAAGCAGCCAAAAGAACCACGGGAGCCTGGGGCTGCGCTCTTAAAATTCACACCAGGTGCTGTTATGTTGAGAGTTGGCATTTCCAAGCGATTGGCAGGACCAGAACTCTTCACCAAAATTAAAGAGACTTGCCAGAGAGCATTAGAAAAACCTAAAGGTAACTGTTTCTGCAGGGATTAAACTGTCTTTTGTACTTAATGGAAGTCCTTATGAAATGTGCATTAGTTCATTATTTTAGGTTTCAAGACCATAGAAAGTGTGTAATGAGTATTGTGTGAAAATTACAGGAATGTAATACAGCTGCATGTCAGTCAAATTAGTGTTTTAATCCCAGCAGCGGTGAGGAGGTCTTGAATATAATAGCCTAAACAATTCATCCTAGTGGAATATTCTTTTTGTGAGACCATTCATGCTTTCCTAGCCTAAAGTGTGTCAGCATTTTTTTGGAGAGCTAAATATCTTCTGCAGTGAATTAGCAGTAATATTGCGAGAAAGAAATAAGATTTCTTATTTTCTCTGAAGGTCCTCTGCATGTCCTCTTATTTTCCCTCTGAGGATCCTCTCCAGAATGTATAGATAGGAGTTTTTGGGTCAGAATGAAGGAGCTAAGTGACATTTGTATATTATGTCTCTGCTGGAAGTGGGAAATTAAATAATACACGGTCTGGCATTTGGACAAAGTGTGTGGCACAAGACATGCATGATAGATGGGATGGGCGTGAACTATACCAGTGCTGTTTACTACAAATCTGTAATGTGAGGAGGGTTTTTGCATGAGAGAGAATACTGATTTTTCTTTTTGGTATCCCAGGAACCAGCTGAGCTGCTTGCAACAACTTGCATGGTAGAATTGGTTTTTTAGGACTATGAAACATGTGCTTTCTATAAGATCTCTGTGGAAATTATTCCACGATCTAAATGTGAGAAAATTATGGCTTATAAATAATAGTATTTGTGGAACCCCTGTTTTTCTGGAATAGCAGATTTTTCTGATTTTTTTTAACTCTGTGAATTCTAGATCCTAATTTGAAACAATACTTCTTAATTCTTTGCAACATTATTCTTTATGCAGTTGTCTTGTTAGTCTCCATGAATGTCACTGCTTGCTTGAGCCATTTAAATTGTATAACTGTTAATAGTGGGCTGTTGCTACTGCTTCTACTTTTTTTTAAAGTCAAATTAAGCACAAACATTTTTAATGCATCATAGATAGTATAATTTGAGGTGTGTACTTGGTATTAGTAAGTACTGTAAATGTCCCACTGCAATACTTGCAGCTCTTTCTATGCAGTATTAGCTTTCTTCTAGTTTAAAAAAAAATCTCATCTCTTATGCTTAAGAATTCACATAACTGATGTAATTGTTACAACATTGAGTCTTCCTGAGTTTGCAAACTGTCTGATACAGTAAAGGTATGAACTATGTCTCTCTCCCTGTAAGCTTTAATTTTGCTGTGTACTTCAGTGCTTCTTGCCAAGGATTCCTTGCAACAGGAACTGCAGTGCAGAATCACTCCACCTGGCTATTTAAAATGATACCCAAAATAACCTCAGCAGTCCTTGCATGCTTCTCTAGAAATAAACAGAAAGTCTGTAGTGATAACAGGAGGCTCTCCAGCACTGCCTCTGGGCTGTCTGAAGTGCACTCAGATTCAGCAGAACTTTGCACTGGAGAGGAAGGGGGATTGAAGTGTTTTGATTTCCCTTTGGTGTGTGCGGTCTGTCACGCATCAAAGTTGCTGCATGCGGAACTGCCAGCAGGCTTTCAGGCATGCACATTTCCTCTGTAATCTGCTGAGGTGAAGGTTCCTTGTATAGTGATTACACTGCCACTAAACTAAGGCACAAATATGGTGCCCTGAAAAGTGAATGACTTTGAGCTAGATATCCACTGTGCGTTACAGTGAAAATGTAGTGTTTTCACTTTGGACTTCTTCATGGTGGTATAATTTGTTTCCCTCTTTTATTCATGGGTTTGGTGTTCCCTTCTTTGTTCTTATTGTGGATGAAAAGTTTCTGGTAATACAAAGAAATGCAGAAAAAAAGGAAACGATAGCTTGTTTCAGTGTTGTGGGGTTTTTTTTAAATTCATTTTCTTTGGAAACAAAAATCTGTAGTATCTGACGGAATTGAGATTTGTAGCTGACTTGCCTTCTATCTGTTATATGCAATTGTTTCCTCTAAGGATATGGACATGATTAGTTGCCAGATATGCTCAGTATCTGGCACCTAGGCAGGCTCTACAAGGTGTCAGTGTTACCTTTGAAGTGGCCTTTTTGTGTCTTGTCACTTGTTTGTGTTGTTGATTGTCCATTGAGGTTGTCTTGATGACTTCAGTGCGGTTCTCTTTAACCTGCCCTTGATTTCACGTAACTTTTTTTTTTGTTTATTTTCACCTTGTTTAAAAACTAGTTTTACTCAGCTTCATCCAAATTCTCTGAGTCGTTTAAAAATGCATCTTTGTTCTCTTCTGTGTGCATTCTGCCAAACTGCTGTAGCAGTCTTTGCTTTTAGCTGCTGAATTTTCCCCAGGTTTGCTGGCGTCTCTAGTTAGGCGTTAGATTCTCTGCTAAACACCAAACGTTTTACTGTATAGAGGTGGCTGGATTGGACTTAGCTACATACCTTCCCTTTTTTTTTTTTTTTTCGCCAATTATATCATAATCTTCCTATTTATTCTAAAGGGTTATAAATCGATGAGCTGCGGTCCAGCCATGTGCACTCTTTTTGTCTTTTTCTGCATTTCGTAGAAACAGACTTGTCAGAACAAGACTCACCTCAGGATACATCTTTTGTTAAAGTGGTTAAAGTGTTCCAGCTGCTCACTGTTTCTTCTGATAAATGTATTAGAGGACTAGTCCTGCCACTTTGAGTACTATTAACAAATGCTTTAGATGAGCCGGTAGGAGGGGGAAGTTCCTTAGCATCTGTTGACTTGCTCTCCAGGTTCATCCACCATAGATAAAAGAATTATTCTACATAGTCATATTTCACTTCTGCATAGCCATACAAACCCTATGTTGACACTAGTACAGTTATCTGATGTCTTGCAGAGAAGTGGAACTTAGACCACTTTCTGATTAATGCTGGTAGTAAACACCTTTCATCACACGTGTCTGACCATAAATGATATACCTACTTCTGTCCAAGAGCTGTCACTTGATTGTTAGGCCTCTCAGTGATTGGTGTCTCAATATTGCTTTCCAGTGCTGAAGCTACCTACAAGGGTACCCATCCTTCCCTTTAAATGGTGAAGGATTTATGTGTTGGTTTTTTTTTTTATAAACTGCAATATCCTTTTTTTCCAAACCTTGATATTGTTTAGAAGGCAGAAATACAAACAGTAAAACTTCAAGGAATTTCCTATTACGGTATATTGCTGTTCAAAAATAACGTGTATGTTGATATCTACAAATATCATTTCTTTCTAGATGCAGAAAACCTTTTTGAACATGAACTGGGGGCCTTGAACATGGCTGCACTTCTCCGAAAAGAAGAGAGAGCAGGTCTTCTCAGTAATCTGGGTCCTTGCTGTAAAGCGCTGTGCTTTCGAAGGGATTCTGCAATTCGTAAGCAGCTAATGAAGAATGAAAAGGCAAGTGGTTCGTCCACAGTGCTCGGTCAAAATGGGGAAACAGATTTCACTATGCAAAGCGTTTCTCTAGGGAGATAATTTTTGTGTTTGGTGTTCTGGAGTAGACCTAGTCCTTTAAATAATGGAGAACAGACTTTAATTTAAAGAGGTTGTAGGGTGTTTATTTTTTACTTAGGATGAGAGGTTAATTTAAGATTGAGTCTAGAGGTAGGTGCTGTTTCTCATTTTGGGATTTAAATTCTGGAGATACATATTCTATATTTAGAGAATACATAATAAAAAGAATTGGTTAAAATACAATTTCAAAGACAACTGTTGAATAATTCTCCTGCTCGAGATTCCATGTACTTTTATAAGAATTATAAGATTCTGTTCTTCCAAGATAAAATTGAAAGAAAATACGTTTTAGCCATTTTTTGCACTACAGTATGTTTTATGATCTTGCATGCTAATAGAAAAATCATTAATTCTCCAGGTCTTTTCTAGTGAATATGTATGATTAAACCTCTAATTATTGAGAGTACTTGAGGTTAATTTCTCAGCTTGCATGTTAAAAGCCACTGTTTTCAGTTCTTTTTTTTTATTTTTCATTTTTAATTTGAACAGGGTGCAACAAAACAAACTTATACAAATTCTGCAGCAATGGACAGCGACTTGTTACGGTTGAGTCTACGATTATTCAAACGAAAGACTGTGTGCCAGGTTCCTGGGCAGGAAAAGACAGAGGATAGTAAAATCCCACAACCGGCTATCCAGCAAGAAGTGTGTGTGTCTTGAGTGAATGACTGTGGTGGCACTTTCTAGTTGATTTTCCGCTACCAGTGTTGGTATTGATGTTTAGAACTGGTTGGTTGGAAAGCAGTTGTAGAAGATGGAAGAAAATACTCCGTTTGTACACAGATAAGAATTATTGGGTTTGGATGTGAATAAAAGGGGTAAAAAATAAAGACTTCTGTGTGAAGTTCTCTGCAAGTTTTGTAATATTGAATCTTACACTGTAACATAAACGTGTTTTATGGTGCATCAAGTGTAATAATGTGAAATGTCTGGTTTTAGCAGTTTATAACACCACCTGATATTAAACTGAAGAAAACTGTCTGCGTATCTTTTTCCTCGTTATAAATGTTTTTGGTTTGTTTTTTTTTTTTCCATCACCACCCTCGTCCCTCAGTACTCATCTGGAATTTCTGCAATAGCTTGCTTCCTGGGAGTCTGTCTACCTCCACTTTCCAAATCCCTTTCTTATCCCAGCAGCCTCTGGTGTGGATCTGGATTTGGACAAAACTCTAGCTCTTTTCCATCTTTAGCGTAGGTTTCCTCTGATAATTTCTGGACACAACAATCTAGTCCAGTCACTTAAGGCTCCCTTCTTGTTGATGAAAAGAAGTAAAAAAAATTCCAGGAAGTGATTTATGACCAGTTTTAGAAGCCTATATTTGAGACTAACAGCGTTTTGGAAATGCCTGCTGCATACAAAGGAGGACTTGTGCACATATTTTACATTCTGTTAAGTATTAGGGCAGATCAATCCCATGCAGCAACCTGAGGGGATTTAACGCTTAATGAGTTTCAGGGGTTTTCAGATGTTAGCAGCAAAGGCAGTGAGCAGTGATGTTTTGCTGGGTGTTACAGATTTCAGGGGCCTGATTAGAGACTTGTCAAGCCTGGACTCAATTTTGTAAGAATTGTTTTCAGTTTGAGAAGTTAATATTTTGCGTAGGATCTTTGGATTATACCAGTCAGGTATGTTTAGGTAGTCTGTGGACACCTCCGTGTGAAACGGAGACTTTTAAAACTTCAGACTAAGTCTCTGTATACATGTCTCTACTTTTCCTGGGTTTAAACCTGAACTGTTGCTTTGAATTCTGCTCATAGAGAGTGGGAAAGAAATCCATAGTTTAACCTTGATACTGGGTTGCTGCAAAGCAACTTGTTTTCATTGTTCTCATTCAGGTTGAAAATGAGTTATGAACCACTGAATTTTTTGACAGTTGGCTTATATTAGTTTCTTATCCTTTTTCTCCGCTCGGAACCAGCGCGCTGAGGTGGGATGTTGACTGTGCAGTTTAACAGCAGGCCTGCCTCACATCTCATGTGATTACTGGCAGTTGTATTAGCTTCAAGCAAGGGCCTAAATAGGAATAGCAATTCAGTTCAAATACAAAGCTTTCTTACTATGGTGCTTTCCTATAATGCCTAGCACATAAGCATTCAGTAAAATGTTCTTAGCTACGTTTAAAGAATTGTTGTTAAAGAAAATGTGAGGGGGTTTTATTTATATTTTTCTAAGTGCGCACACAATAGTGTATATATGCTTGTATCAAATATAAACAACGTGAGAAATTTCTACCACTTGTTTGGTTCTTATTAAACTATGTGATCCAGGCAAAACTTTATCTTCCTAAGTTTTTCACTTGTTGAACATTTTTAAGGGACTTGGTGACTATTATTTTTAATGTCATCATTGATTTTATATACACTTATAAAAAAATAGCCTGTCTTTTAAACACACTAGTACTTTAACCTGAGCAAGAGTTAACAGACCTGTTCTATTCAGCATTTAAATGCATTCTCACCTATTTTATAGCTACAATAATGCTGCCTTTAAGCTGAAAGTATTAGATCATTGCTTCCAATTATGTTAAAGCCTATTTTAATCTCCGTCTCTAAAAGACATAAAAATGTTTGATAGCTAGAAACAGCCTTGTCTAAGACTGCAGTACACAAAATAGATTCACTGTGTGGCTTTTAATTACACTGTGTTTACTTTAAACACTCTTCCTGTAAAACAGTCAAGGTGTATATATGCACTTAGTTTGCAGAAGAATATTTCACATTACCCTAGAAAATGCAAAATAAGAGGCTCGCTGAGCTACCGTGAGGATCTGGTGAAGTGCTGGTGTCCCACTGAAGGTCAAAGCCAGTGCTGACCTGTACCACCATTTGTTGGAACTATACAAAAAAGGTGCTGAAATTGCCTCTGGCACAGCTTTGGTTTGGTTTGGTTTGGTTTGGTTTGGTTTGCGGCAGGACACGATGGTACTGGCAGAAAACATGCCGGTTTCTGTGAGAAGCACTAAGATTTTGCAAGCGATTCCTCTCTCACCTGGCAGGAGCTACTGCACAGGTAAAGCCCAGCAACCGTGAGGTTCCTGTGTATGAATATTTTCGGTCTCCCTCATTTTAACATAAAGTAGTGTTTAGTTTGCAGGTATTCTCTCTGACAGGGAATATAAGTTACAAAGCTGTCTTCAGGTAATTTTGCAATAACTTTAGGAAAAGGAGATTTGCTCACATACCAATTTCAAAAAAAGGGGTGAAACTTGTCTAAATTGGAGAACATGCTTTAGAACTGGCTTTAGGACCTTCCATCCCCTTCCCTGTGTTGGTAATCACTTTTCCGATGTGGTCTGCCAGCCCTTTTAACCGATCTCTTCCTTTCTCCCCGTTTCCCTCCTAGCTTGATTTTGTGTGGAAAAAGAGTGAATGGACGCATTTTAGTCCGGCTCTCATCTTGCAAGGCTCCAGCAGTGATATGCAGGAGCCTGTAACATTTCAGGTAGCAGCGTGAGGACGGGGATGAATGTGTGCCTCGGATGCCCTTGTGTGCTCAAGCTCCAAGTCTGAAAATGTGGAGGAGCCTCTATTGCTACTCGGTTTCTCCTTTTAAGCTGCGGCAGCAACTTTAAAGCGGTGCCTGTACCAAAGTAGAGATGTCGGCCCTTTCTGCTGCTAAGCCCATGCTGTGCCTAGTTGGATGATAAATTACTTTTAAGCATCCCTGAGGTGCAGTCTGGAACGTGGAGCCGCAGAAGAACAAGCTGGTGCCTGCGCGGGTAGGATGAGGCAGGCTTTCACCCACGTGAAACGCTACGCCCAGCTCTTGCAGCCGTAACGGGTTCACAGACAGAGCAGATTTTTAGAGCCTCGAGACACAAATGGGGCTATGACCTGTATCTTGGGATATCGTCACGTTCATTATCTCCAATGGTACTTTCAGGCTATTGCTGCTTCAGCTAGTGGGGTGAGATACAGATTTTGACAGTGGGCCATCTGCACAGTGTACTCAAAAGACGGAGTTCAGACAATTTTACTAAATTAAGGCTTTCATTTGAATTGCTTTGACGTAGTTGTGTTCTCCCTTTTCCGCCGTAGGGATGTCCTTCAGCAGAGAGCAGGCTGGCTGGAGCTGCTCTGCCCGTAGGAGGCAGGGCACACAATATATTTGCAATTCAAACAGTTGCTACCAGCTTAAAGAGTCCAGGAACCTCCTTTGTTTTGTAGTAATGGTCAAAGTCTGCTTTTCAAAGGATCTTTGTACAAACGGTTGTTTTTACTGTACAGGTCTTCACCATCATGCTAAGGGGAAACCCAAGGAGATGTTATCAAATGCTTGGTCTTGGCACACACGTTATATAGTAGGTAAGGTTTTGCGGGCAGTGTGGGAGAGGAATTGTTTTTTTTTTTTTATGCAATGTCAGGAGACAGCTTGAGAATGGCAAATGCACTGTTATAATAACAATAAAAAGCTCTAAACTAAGCCCTAAACTCAGAAGTAAAGCAATGTGGCCAAGCATCACGATGCAAAAAAACCAAAAAAACCAAACTGACCTCTTAAGAATTTGGAAATTTGTCCCATCAAAATCAGTAAAGGAGTCCAAATGTGCGGGGAGAGAAGCACTGAAGTAGCATTCAAAAAGCAAATAGCTGAAGTTTTTTGGAAGAAGACAGTCTTTTATAAAGAACAGCCAGTTTCATGGCCTCTGCCCTATCAGTAGGGGTCAATAGATGAAAGAGGGAAGATAAGTACGTCCTGGGGAAGTTTAATTTCTTGATACCAGCTTTCTCTGTCAGGGATACGCCTACTACAGGCTTGCTTTTTCCTTAGTAATGAAGGCGAGGTATTCTCTTTAAAGACTGAAGTGTCAGAAGACGTGCTAGAACAAACTGCTGAGTTACAAAGCAACGGGCTGCCAGATTTTAAGTGTATGTTCACGTGTGAAAGGGTTGTGTTGGTTGCAAACATGCAGTTCCTAAACAAGAGGGAAGATTGAAATAACAGGTAGTGGATTGGGATTTTAAGAAAGCCTGCGGCTTCGGGGGTAGTGGAAAATGCTCTTTTCCATCTACTTCATGATTAAATTTGCTTTTTGAATATATTAAGTGTTGAGGGGTGCTTGGGGCACTGTGTAGAAAGTACTTGAGGAAGGGAGTAGTAGAAATGGGACAGAAGCGAGTATCATGCAATCATAGAATGTCCTGAGCTGGAAGGGACCCACAAGGATCATCAAGTCCAACTCCTGTCCCTGCATAGGACAGCCCCAAGATTCACTCCATGTGTCTGAGGGTGTTGTCCAAATGCTTGTTATATGTTGTCAGGCTTGGCGCCATGACCACCTCCCAGGGGAGCCTGTTCTGGTGCTCCACCACCCTCTGGGTGAAGAACCTTTTCCTAATGTCCAACCTAAACCTCCCCGGCATATCCTCCTGCCCTTCCCTCGGGTCCTATCATTGGTTGTCAGGGAGAAGAGATCAGCACCTGCCCCTCCTCTTCCGCTTGTGAGGAAGCTGTAGCCCGAGATGAGGTCTCCCCTCAGTCTCCTCTTCTCCAGGCTGAACAGACCAAGTGACTTCAGCCACTCCTCGTATGGCTTCCCCTCTAAACCCTTCACCATCTTCATGGCTATGGTAGTATAAGTTGTATAAGTTGTAGTTGTCAGCCTGGGAGTGAGACTTCACACATCTACAAGCCACAAGCTCACCCATCAGAATGATGGAGAGAAATACCTAGGTGTGCTGAGCACAAGACGCACTGGTGAAAGAGCTCTGGAAACAGGCAGTGTAGCCCTAACATGGCTCCAGGCGGGTGTTTCCAGCAGGGAGAGGAGCGGGTTTACTACTCTCAGTAGTACCTGCGAATTCCCACCTGGTCTCTCCTGGTCTGCTCCTCTATGCTTGCAGAAGTTCGGTTCAACCTACAGACACAGGGAGTCCTGAAAGTGAGGAGAAGCATGGATTATGATTGCTATCTCCTAAAAAACTGGGAAAGTGAGAAAAAGGGGAGAAGAAACTGAAAAAGGTCAGCAAAAGAACAGG